AAGAAGGATTAGAAATTAGAAACAACGAGTCAGGTGAGAGAAATCAGCAACAGTACCTCGGTCACATTTACACATGGTGATTAAAAAAGAATACGCCAAAATCATCACGCGACATTTCCAACACATAAAACAAAGAAGAAAGTGTAATTTGGACACATGTTCTGTACACACCTTCATGTTTTTAGTTCATGTTTTACAAGTGCTCAAAGAACTGAAAAATCCCCTCAGCTTTTGCAAGATTTGACTAAGCTCTGGTTACTGACAACTGAGACGAAATGTAACGTATCTGGTCTGGCAGTATTCAACGCATGATTCAATGCATTATGAACGACCCATCACATCCCCTTTCCACACAAATTGTAAGATCTGATCACCCAGCGTCAGAAATGTACCTCTAAAAACAAAAAAAAGAAAGATACAAAAGAAGTTTCTTACCATCTAGCATAAGGCTACAGTCAGAATAAACATTAATGTGTATTGCTTTTTATGTATTTATCTATACAACTCTAAAGGTCTTGAGGTTAAATGATGCATCTGATGTGACATGAACGTTTTATCAGCTTTAGATTTACTTTTCTTTCAATATTGAATTTTAATTAGAGTAATCTATAACTTAATCTTCAAGTATACCCGCATGTGTTTTACAGTCCTGTACAGTAGAGACGGGCGGGAAGTGCTTTTTCCTTCCCGAGCGAGAAGACCGAGTAGCTGACCTATTTCTCGCCGAGACCGGTCCCGGGAACGAGAAATACTTCCCGTCTCGTGTCTCGAACAATGCTTCTCGTCTCGTGACCAATTTCTCTTCTCGCCCCGCAGTTCGAGCCGCTCGTTCAGCGAGAAGGCCGGCCGTGGCCGAGATTTCTCTTCTCGCCTCACAGAACGAGCAACCCGTTTAGCGGGAAGGCCGGTCGTTGCGGGGATCTAAACTTAGAAACTAGGCTTGCTCTGGTGCGCAGCCACAGGCGGTGAAGGAAGGTAGGGAGACGACCTAGGCCTAGGCCCTGATCAACTCCCCACTCGCCTT